TACATGGAAAACTTTAAAATCCAAGCTCTTATTTTGAAGTGAAGATAGTTTCCTGTACTCGGTGCTTTTGTTTCCCATCACAAATCAAATCCGTCATGTACCCAGAATGCATCGCTTCAGTTTTCCAATAAACAGTTTTAAAATTACTTTATTGATGCTTCTTTAACAAAAAATCTACAACAAACAAAAGAGAAAGACAAAGAAGCAGCCGAACTAACAATCCTCAACAACTTTTTAATTTTTACACCATGAGCCAAAGGTCTGTTTCAGGAAATCACATCCCCAGCAATCAGTGGTTGTAGGATTGTAGTTGTAAAAGGGTTCAAACACCACTAGTTGGCAGTGTTGTACATGTATTGTACATGAATTGTTGTCTGTTAGTAAGTGTCAAATTGATCTTGTGCTTTAAAATTAGCTTCTGATAGTTTTTCTATGACATAAGTGGTTTTGAAGTTGCGGACCTAAATATTTTCATAAGCATTTTAGAAATTGCGGAGCTAATTTTTGGATTAGCGCTGCCCACCACTGCGTATGAGTGGTCTCCTTCTCGTTTGCTAGCATCAGCCTCTCAGTGAAGCGTTGCAGGCCTCATTAATCAGAACAGTAGCTGAATATAAAACAAAACCTCCTGCTGCAGTGAGGTAACCACCTCTGGCTGTGAAATAGTCTTCCTCATACCACACCATATGTTTCAGCTCAATATTTTTCAGTTTCTTTCTCATTGAGAATGAAACCAGCTCCATGGGGTGAGGGGCTGTTAGCTTTAAGGCTGCAGGTTCTTGAAGCAGCAGGACAAGCTGCTTGAACAAGCTCAGATTCCTGCAGCTCACAGCTTTGACAGAATTACATCTGAAACCATGAAAATCAGCTTAACAGACCTGAGTGGGAGGGAGTTTCTCTTTTATTCACTGCTCTGAAGCTGTAACAGGTTTAAAATCCAGGTCAGTGTCAGTAAAATAACCTGCTGCTGTCAGCACTTACCATTTAACGTTTGGATTCTGAGATATGATGTCTCGCTCCAGAGCTTCCACCAGGTCTTTATCATATCCTGTCCAGTCAAACTTTTTCACTTCTTTCTCCTGTGCAAACACATCAAACATCTTCTGAGTCAGCTGAATACAACCTGCTGGATGTGAAATTAAAAACTGGATTGAAGGACGGGCGGTGAACAAACATGAGGACACTCAGCAAAGCAAACAGGAGCGACTCGTTGTTATTGTGGACGAGAACAAGCAGAGTAATTAAAACCTGATGTTCACCTTTTCATTGTTTGCTTTACCAGCAGCCTCCTTTCCTTCCTTTGGCTCCTTCACTTCTTTCTTTTCCTTTCCTTTAGCTCTGCTTCTGTCCTCGTGTCCTCGAGGGGACGGCCTCTGCTGGACCCTCCCAGCTGCACTCAGACGGTTGTTGGGAGGTTTGCTGTCCTTCTGTGGGACAGCAGGACGCCTGAAAGGACCAGGAAGGAAAAGATTTAAAAATATTTTATTTGTCTGTCATAGAACCAGGCTATAACAGAGTTCTGCTGCTTATTATTCTCTCTAATAATTACACATCATTTATCTAAAGCTGTTCTTGTGAATGAAGTTAAATTAAAAACAAGTTTGTCCATGGAGGAAAAATTATTAATAACATATGTAATAAACACTTTTTATTAATGAGTTTTCACATTTCACAAACAACTTTTAGTAGATATCAAAACAATAAAAATAAAATAAAATAAACTAAGGTCAAGGTGAAAGTAGTCAGAGATCAAACAGATAAAATCAGTAGGTCCTCTGGATGGTTCTTCTTTAGTGAAACGTTTCGTCTCTCCTCCAACAGACTTCTTCAGTCTGATGAGTTTCAGGTGAACTCAGCCTTATAAGCTCCGCCTCCACCTGGTGGACAAACAGGTTAGTCACATGCAAAAGAGGACCATCGACTAACAATAGGCTTGATTAGTTCTATTGTTCATAGAGGGTCATGTGACCCATCACCTGACTTATTGGTTTGGATGCTGTGGTTCTCAGGTGTTTTGTCATGTGTATGTAGTGAATGCAGGCGGGGCTCAAAGTCCCCTTGTTTTTGTCCCTCTTTCCCTCTTTGTGTTGGTATCATTGGGGCCCTGATTCACATCTTTTTTTACAGGTGACTAAATAGAGCTAATCAAGCCTATTGTTAGTCGATGGTCCTCTTTTGCATATGACTAAGCTGTTTGTCCACCAGGTGGAGGCGGAGCTTATAAGGCTGAGTTCACCTGAAACTCATCAGACTGAAGAAGTCTCTTGGAGGAGAGATGAAACGTTCAGTGTTTCCCCTACATGTAAATGATCGTGGCGCCCCGCCACGCCTAAATAAAAGCCGCCATACCTTCAGAATAATGTTTTTTTTAATCAACGTAAAACAGGCGTTGACACAATCATTGTTTAGGTTGTCCAAGACGACCTATTTTTGTTTTGGACAACCAGATCCCGCCTCCCAGTTGTCCGGTGGACAACCAAGAAAAAAAACCTGGATTAAAGTTTTCCTCTGCATGTGTTGTCATTGTAAAAATAAACGGGAGAATAAAAACTTGTTAAAGCTGTCTAGGGATTAAACTGATGGTTCTTTCACCCAATAAAGAGAGCCAGAGTCAAAGTTTTACCCAATCAGAACAGAGCAGGGCGGGTCGTACCATCTGACAGCGCTGACTGTTTCCTCTCTCTGTGATGGAGGGTCAGCTCGGCTCAGACCAACATGTCCCAGAAAAGCCCTCAGTGTTTCCTGGACTATTTCCACTGAGGATTACGTCATATTTTATATATATATATATTATATTCCTAAAAGCAGCTCACAGTATTTCTACTGGAACACCGTGTGTTCACGACTCGAGCACAACAAAACCGCCACAGATCTGTTTTTAAAGCGAGGGCTCAGGGAGGCAGCTGGACCAGCAGCTGCTCCTCTCCAGGCACATCACGGCCCTGACCAGCCCGGGACTGAAGTCCACATGTCAGCCCCTTCAGATGGTTACTTGTATAATGAGCATCAAAAATCTGTCATTTGTGCAAAAAATAAAAATAAAAGAATCAGTATTAATCACACAGGTGGGGTGGAGGTGACCTGACCTCAGCTGTGTGGGGTGGTGGGGAGGAGGAGGGGGGTCTTTTAAAGACGTGTCTACATTTGACTTTTATTGTTTCTAAAATCACAGAGTTCTCTGAGTCATCTTCAGATGTTTGTAGTTAATCATAATATCCTCTAAATTTAACCAGGTGTTTCACTGAGTTTAAATTACACAATCATTTTACTGAGAAACTTGTCAGTTTGATTAAAAAACAGTAAAAATATATTTTTTCTGTGCAGACAACTTCCTCTGCTATAATTTATTTTAAATAAATATATCAAAGCTCCTCAGTTGAAAACACTAAAATTATAGATGTTTAAAAACTTGTTTCCTCAGAAAGTCTTCAGTCCTAACAACACTAAACTGTAACTTTAATAAGTACACAGTTTACTCCTATTTAGATAAAAATGTTTGACCTGTAAGCAGAAAGCTTATGGATGTTGGTTTTTTTATCTCTTATTTCAAAGAAAAAAACTGTCAACCTGCTGACTGAGAACATTTGTATATATTACACTTTGTATACAGAACAATATACTTATTAAATTACATTTTAACCCCCCCACCCCCCGGCTCATGAGAGGTCACCACACCACCACGGTTAAAAACATCCTTGGGGAAACCCTGTTGTTTCACTAAAGAAGAACCATCCAGAGGACCTACATATTTTTTCTTTTTGATTTTTTTCTACCTGGATTACTGAGATGTATCAGGATATATTCAGATATCTATTAAGAGACTTAAAATATAATTGAACAGAATCAGATTAAATTAACAGAATGCATTGAACAAATACCTGAGTTAGGCATGGGCCCAGTACTGTTTCAACGTATACTGTGATTTTAAAAAGTCAAGGTTTGAAAACCACTAAAATCTTCTGTCATACGTGTCTGGTATAAGTCACGTGCCTATGGTATAAGTGTTTTTGTTTATTTTCCCTCTGGTCTGTTGTGCTGCAGACCCCTCCCCCCCCATGGACGACAACAATGTGGACCATGGAGACAACACGTCTAACATGATGGCAGCTCCAGGTAAAGTTATGTTATCTTGATATGAACAAGCTAACGTTAGCATCAGATTGTGAAACACATCACTGTGTTGCTGTGGCTCAATGCGCTGATCACAGCTTGTCTGAGAAACTGTTTGAGTTGTTGGATTGTGTATCTGATAAGTTTGAAGTGATAGGTGGTAAAACTGATGCCTCCTTTAGCCGAGCAGCTCGTTAGCTGAATGTGCGTTTCATAAACACGCATTTATAGTTGTGATTTCTTGTTTCTGTGTGCATATAATTATATAATCTTTATGTCAAAACACACTGTCATTTAAAACACGATAAAAACGTGATACATTACTTCAATAAAAATACGTGTTGTGCACACTGATTTGTCTTAAATAATAAAGCAGTTATCTTAGATGTAAACTTTATCAGGATAAACTAATTACATTAGGTGCTAAAAATGAAAGTACAGATGCACACAGGTAAATAAAATTTCAGCATAACACCTCTGAGATCTAGAAACAGCTTCCAAAGATAATTAAAGTTGAATATGAATCATAGAAAAATTATTTTCTTTTTTTGTTTTTAAATACAAATTTCAAAACTAAATTTTTAGAATTGTAAATCATAATACCATCATACTGTGAAACCGTGATATTTTTGGTTATCATCTCGTCATAATTTCATCCTGACCCATGCCTACCTCTGTTCTACATGTGCTGGCCTGATCTCTAAAGCATCATGGTTACTGGGTTTGACAGGCGTGGCGTCCAGCTGGAAGTTCTCCAGAGTCGACATTATGTCCCGAACATGTTGAGTCTCTTCGTTAATTTCCTGCCACAGCTTAAAGAGAAGACAGAGGAACAAACATGAGGTACAGGAAGGTTTCTTCCAGCTCAGGTGATCTGATCTGATTTGATTTATTTATTTAACAGGAAAAGATTACTAAAAATCAAGCCTGACTCAGCATAATAGCTGTTTTACAGCAGGTTCCTGTTCTGCAGCACATAAACACTCAGAATTACAGCATCACAATCACATCATTATACACCATAGACACAAAGACAAACAAGCAGACCAAATTTCAGGAAGGCAGCATTTGTAAAATAGGATGTCTAAATATGAGCACAACAAAAAGTGTCCAGCAGATGGCAGACAAGATTCTTCTTAAAGG